AAATTTTTTTTATCAAAGTCCTGCAGAAGAAAGCCTGAAGTCAGTGCTTGAAAACAAACAAAAGCAGAGACATTTCAGGCAGCACAGAAGTCTTACAAGTGAGAAAAAAAATACTTTTCAGTAAAAACTGAGAGAAAGCAAAAAATTAAAAATATGTGACCTGTACAAACTATCATTAATATTTATTGCACCAAATAACAATGGTGGTTTTACAACAATAATGCAAGCTTTTAAATGTATGTCTACTGTAGTGGAGTGTGTCCCTGCAGAGAGCAGAGTACAGGAGAGGAAGTGGCCGTGCTGGCAGTGACCGCAGTGAGGACGTGGCCCCTCGCAGCTCATCAACCTGAGCCTGTGTTTATGGAGGCTGAGAAAGATGGGGCTTTGCTTTAGGACCAGACATGCCTGTGCTGGATTTGGGATGCAGCCCTGCTGTCCTACACTGGAATGTTAATTAGGTGAGCTGAGCAAAGGAGAGGTGACCCATCCCGGTACCCAGCCAACTTTTCCCCAGCAACCAGGTGGGAGCTTTAGTGTGACGGATATCCAAGTCAGAGTCAGGGCACATGGAGCGACTGTAGTGTGTGAGAGAGACACGCAGTAAACTGTGACTTTATAGTACACACAGATAAGATATCTGTAGTCATCACCAGTATTTACTCTCCACTTTCACTACTCCAACTTTCTCTATCTTGAGTTGCATCACTTAAACAACATACCACAAGAAGAGTGTTTAGAGTTGAGGCAACACACAGGGCGCAAAATAGCAAAGAGTTCAGTCCAGTTAAAGGTTTCTTCACTCCTCTGCAGCTAAGGAGCACAATGTCTCTTCTTTTAAATATACCTCAACACTGTACATGTATTTACCATCTATAGACTAAATGCACCAAGAAAATCTTTATAATATCGTTAGAGCAGTAATGTTTTTTTTTTTACAAATTTTAAAAACACCATATCTTCCATGTGATCATGAAACTACTGTACGTGTAATTTTACAAACGGAAACTGAACTCACAAAATGTTTACATTTACAAACATAGTGCAAAGGTTGTTGCATTTTTACAGCTGGTGCCAACTGATCGAGTTCACAATGATGCAATTTAACCCACTTTATTGTGTGTGTGCACATATACAAGAGAAACACAAAAGAATCAAATATCTGAGGACTCTTATTTCCTGGTCCGCTGGAAGCAATTTATTAAATACTGACCTCTAGAGGACACACTGTGGCTGTACATATTTAAAACCACTTTGTGTATATATTCACAATACATCAGTGGAATTAGTTTTTACTTCAAATGTATTGATATTTCAAAGATCAATGTACAATAGACTTTCAATTACTTTTCATAGCCAAAATAACGTATTTGTTATTTACAGAAAATATGGTGATTTAACACAATTTCAGATTTTATTAGTTGTTAACAGTATTTATTAATGCTTGCTTGCAATCTAAACTTTGCCTATATATGTGTATATACAGTACACAAACAAATTATGCTATTTACATTTATAGCAGAAATAAATGTAAAATATATCATCGATGAACAGATGACTAATTTATGAAGTCTGTCACTTTCTAGCATTAACACTACTGTTGACAATGTGATTATTATGAGTTTCATTATTTAAATCAGAGCCACAGTGGACAATATGATATTTGCAGTGTTTTTCTTTATAAATGACAAAGGCAAGACATCAGAATCTTAAACATATTGTACGATTACAGAAAATATCTGCAGACATTGAAGTGAAAAGTGAATAATCATTGTTAAAAAGGTTCAGCTATTTTCTGTCTCAATTGTTATTATTAAATTGGTGTATTTTAAAATATAGAAAATTAAAAAGGAACATAGTATCAATATTAAATCATTATATCAACCATCAGCCACCCTGCTTTCTGAACATTACCAATAAAAAACCCATCGATCACTAATGGTGACTGCATGTAGATGATCTGTATCATAATTAACAACATTAACATACTACATGATGTACAACACTGATTAGAATATCTGTTGTATATAACTATTATACATGATTAACTAAGGAGCAATAATAAAATAAACTATACATTTTTATAAAAATGACTGTACAATGAAACAAGACTATGTAGCATACATTGGACCAAGGATGATTTATGATGATTATTTGCTATGATTAAAATCCTACTCTCTAATTTACTTCAGACAAAGTA